GCGGTTACACACTGAAAGTAATGGTAAGACGGGTCCACTGACTTTAAGTAGTTTAATTTTACTGTCGGCGGAAGTGTATTGAAGGCGACAGTTTCAATGTAGGCGTGCCCATTGCTGTGCAACTGGTTAGAGTTTGTTAGTGTCAGTGATCTTTGGCACGAGCCGTCTCGAGACCCCGTCCGGGAAAACGGCAGGAGTCAACAGGGTGGGGTTACTGTCCATGGACTTCACATATCGTCAAATCACACCTCTAGGTCGATTCCATCCCACGAATGGTTGGAAGGAAAAGACTCTGAGGGGTAGATGATCCTCTGATAGGCGAGGCACGCGTCCTAATCAAAGTAAGTTGTGCAGAGTGAACAGTTCACCTATCGTGGGCGAATTCCTTCTTCCAAAGACTATTCGTCGCACCTCAGCATTGTTGATCAGGTGGTCCAATCAGATTCGGGCAATGCTTCGAAGACACCCATGTTTAAAAACTGAAAATCTTTGGCACACATTGGCATGTTTCTGAGCGATAGCGCAGTACGGGTTATACAGCAGCGGTGTAAATTCTGCCCATAACAAATAGGCTTATGTCAAAACGGGTCACAGGTGTCAGAAGTTGACAAGACCCACTCTGACATTTCCTAATCGGGAAGCAATTTCGAATTTCGCCCGTCGACTGAGATCTATACAGCTACCTGGATACGTGAACTTAACTACTAAATCGATCAGTCCAGCCACAAACATGGAGTTTGAGTTTGGTGCAAAGACATCGAGTGTTATACTGCAAGTCATATGAACAAAACCAATCAGCGGAAGAATCATGTTAGCGGCAAACCGGGAAACCGATACAAACAATATTTCAACATACACCAGTACCTTTCCAGTTGAACGTAGCATTCCCATTAGTGATACGCTGAATTCGCTGTGTAATCGCCAGTTGCAACCGGTGTTTGCCGCTATGGCAGTGGAATAAAACTGATCAGTTTCAACTTACTACGTCACGTACAGATTGAAGAGTATTTAAAGATGGAGAAATTCGAAGGAACTGAAGAGTTTTCCCGTTTCAGAAAGTAGGGTAGCTTTGAAACTAACTCTAAAATCAAGCACGAGAAAATGATTAGAGATTCATTCTAGCGAAGCATAAGAATAGGGAGATTCGGCATTGATAGTGAGCCCAAACAGGACCAAACTGGTAACACTGGACGCAAATCAATAGTAAATGGATGGTACTGTCTTGGCACCTATGACCTCTAATAGCGCTAGAAAAGCAGATCAATAGCAAGACTACTTGTTACGTGTATTGTGACATTTGCAACCCAATTTATCCTTATAGGAAGAACGAAATGTGGAAACCAAATGGTAAATCGGAAGAATTACAGACACTCAAAGTGTGGATCATGATGCTGCTGGATTTTCATGAGTGGTATCTCCATTATTCTTCAAAACTGTACCATGATCGATTGCTGTAATTGCTCCAGTGTCTGGTTGTTGGTCTATTCACCGAGCTTGACAGTTGAATTGCAAACGTCTCATCACCAGTCGAGGTGATATCGTCAGTGCAGGGTTGAGTGGGTGAATTCCTACTCTTCTGACTGTGCTTATACAGCTTCTAAACAGTATCTGGTAGCTCTGAAGGCGGCCTTCAAGTAGTTTTATTGGTCCTCTGTGAATCTGAGTTGGTCTCAATCTTTTGTGTCTGGTTGGTTGCTTGGGTGCATTCAATTCGACAGTTCTGTTGTGACTCGGTTGTTCTCTTCTTGCTTTGTGGTCTGAGTTTGTTCCCTTGATTGGGTGATTTAGTGGTCTTCTGTTTTTAGTAGTTTTCTTCCTTTGAACCCATTAGTCCGTTGGTTGTCGTTAGATTTCTTCATTTCCCATGTGGCTCAGAGTCCCGTGACCGCAGTTTTTTCCTCGTAACGGCAGATAGACTGGGTCAATATCGATATGTCTATTGATAGACTTTTGTGTGGAGTACCACGCCTCGGCAAACTCTACGTCCCGTTTTGTTCTTACATCAGCAAGTATTTGAACATTGTCCCAATTGAACTTGTGTCCTCCCCTATCTTCGTGGATTAAGACAAGTGAAATTGGGTCATGTCTTCTGTTGGCATGCTTGTGCTCGTGTATTCTGGTAGCAAGATTTTCTCCAGTTTGACCAACATAGTGCTTGCCGCAGTCGTTACACTCAGGCTTGTAGATCACGTTCATCCTCACTGCACCTAACCTTCACTTTGGTTTCGAGAGTGTTCTCAATGTGTTTGCAGGCTTGTTGCCGTAAATGTCGTGCCGTTATCTCCGCAACGTTTTTGATATACGGCAGCGTAATCTTCCTCTGTTCTGGTTGTGCTGACGGATCAGCTGAGTGGTGGTCTCGTAAGCACCTTCATATGAAATTTCTCGAGAAGCCGTTAGTTCGGAATGTCTCGCAGAGTCTTCGCTCTTCTTTTCCTCCGCCTCTGTTGTGTTGCAATGTGTCTCTATTCGCTTGAATAGGGTTCGAACACAGCTCCGTTTGTAGGAATTCGGACGGTTGTTGTAGTTCAGAATCTGGCCTGTATGCGTTTTTTCCTGTATATTACAGTTTGCAGTTGGCCGTTTGTTTTCCTCGTGACGTGCACATCTAGGAACGCCAATTTGATGTTATCTTCCGTTTCCATTTTGAAGTGGATGTCAGGAAACACGTTGTTCAGCAGTTCGTTCGTTCGTGACAGTTCATTTTTCTTTACAATACACATAATGTACCCATAACTTCAATTTGATTTCTGGTAGCACGATCCGCTCCAGTTTATGCATTGTAATTTCCTGACGAATCCAGAGATTGGTGGCCCCCATTGGCACTCCTTTGAGTTGTTCATAATATTCTCCATTGAACTCAAAGTAGGTTGTCAAGACAGATCCAGTAGTTTACATGGTTCTTCTCTCCCGAGCGTTCCGTTGATGTTTCCGCCGTTGTCCAGGAGTTCAGCAACCGTCGTCCTCGCTGCATTTAAATTAACTAATGTGAGCAGTGAAGTTTCATTGAAGGGAACCGTTATTTCGTCACCTTCGATTTTCACGTTTTTAAGTCTCTCCAGAAATTGTCTTGCATTGTTGATTGGATACTGGGGCTTATTGGTGAGATATTTTATGCGCTTCCACAATTCTCTTGTATGTTCCTGGTAGGGAGACAAGTTAGACAGGGGACCAATCAAACTACGTGAAGATCGCCTTCAGGACCGTCAGACGCTGCTTAGAAGCTATATAAGCACAGTCAGAAGAGAAGGAATTCACCCACTCAACCGTGCGCTGACGATCTCACCTCGATTGCTGATGAAACGTTTGCAATTCAACTGTCAAGCTCGGTGAACAGACCAACAACCAAGTGTACCCGAGCCACCCATATTCCACAACATTGCTCCAGTGTCCTCAGTCTGCTGCCATTCGCTGTCGATTTTAGTTAAACAGATAGGAAGAATCCTACTGGTGTTAGATCTGTAGACCTTTGGGGTCGTTCAACCACACTGCTTTGCTCGACACAATGGTTATTGGAAATAGGCTTTCAAAAATCCCGTGTTATCCGACCATGATGTGGGGCCGCACCATCCTGCCTAAACTATATAGCTCAAGGCAGTTAGTTCCTCAAGAAATGGCGGGGAAGTACCGAAGCATCCAACAATATGACACTCCCGGAAAAACAGGATAGAGCAAACGGCACAAAAATGCTACGTTACCACCAAAGGTCCCATAAGCTGATGACTTTGAATTTCAGCTCAGTTCATCAGTCTTGAACGATAGTCATCCAGAGATCAATCCAGCCCACCCATGGGAAGTGAACACTGCCCTAATCAGACAAACAGCTTTGTTGCTGAATAAGATCCGGACAGCATTACCGTTGTAAGGAAACTGTCCTACGAATTCAACACGACGGTCAGGATCACTGACTCTAAGTTCTTGCAGGGGCGTATTAGGCTTCGATGTGCAGAGAAATATGATACATTGAACCGACAACCTACTGGTTTTCGCTGAACTTCTGATGCAACGGAAGGCTTCGTACGATTCTCAGCTTCTTGCCGGTTGCACAGATCCTATACTTCAGTTTCCTTTAAATTTTTCAATCAATCTGATACCGGTTGATTTGTGCGATCAAAGGGTGCCCATGTGCTTCTAGTTGGGATGTCAGTGTTTTATGTGTGTTTCGTCATACTTTGCGCACAAGAGGGTGATTTTAAAGTGTCATTTTGAGTTCACATAGCCAAAGAGCTTTAAAGTGTCGTTTGATGATTGTGCCGAGTCAGCCAACAACGGTCATCACCGTAAAATATTATCAGGTTCTGCCCACCCCAAACTACTGAACGACAAACCACGTGAATCTTGCACCGTTGAACGCAGTACGCACCTGCACACGTGATTTGTATCCCGTCAGTGTTGACAGGTTTCTGCGCAAGCTAACACGTGCAACGTGTGCGTAAGCAGTTCCGATTTTGAGCAGCAGCCATAACAACAACGGGTACGATTTTCTGTTCCTTCTGACAGGTGGTATACACCGGTTGCGTTAGGAATTAGTCAGACACACAGGTGCATGACAGCAATGGGTTGCCAGTCAACAGAATGGGCGAAGCACCGCGGAAGTTGACAATTTGACCAAAGTGAGTCGTCCGGAGTACATGGAACAAAGATCGCGCGGTACAAGCCATTGGTAGAATGAACTGATATGGCTATATTCTGTATGAAAAGCCAAACAACCTGGCGGGTTGGTTACCCATTCTCGCCTTAGGTTTAGGAATATGTCACAGTCACCGAGAAGTCCACCGTGAAGAGAGTTCATCCATTTTCCAAGTTCTACCCTACGCCCCTGGGGTACCTAGATGATGTTAACGTCTTGTGTAATCAAACGACCAGTGGATTCAGTTGCAGATCTAGATCAAATTAATGTGAATTTCCAGCCCCTCGGAGTTAACCTTTAATGGAGAATCGCAAAAATCAATAGTTCACACTGCGATTTCACAGAAACTTCAGAAATCTATTGTTCTTACTTTTTTACGATCCCGCATAGATCCTCGCCCTCGAACCATAATTTTAACGCCCAAACACTGTTGCAAACACTTGGCAGTCGAACCATCCGGACCCAGAATGCGTCCAACAAAGTTAAACTGTAAAAAAGAGGACAATAAAGAGTAATAATGAATAATTAAAGTGGAGACATGTGTATTCCAAGGTTTCCAAGGTGAATTCGACGGATAAACTAATACAAATATCAATTTCTTGAATTAGTTGGTGGACACACAGAAACGGAACCCAAAAGATTAACGCTCATCTTGATAGCCCAGATCACCATGTCAGAATAACGAACACTGGAGAATGAAGTTAATGAATCACGGTCAGCATGCATGTCATAAATGAACTTATAACTGAATCCTACATTTAAGAACACATGACAGCAAACTTACACTGACACTGCTCTCCAGCTCCAAAGAGTTTGTTCAAGAGAACCAGGTCCCGTGCGTGCCAGGCGATTGCATTTTTAACTTGAATGGCACGAAATTTGTGCCTGTCAGTGGGCCAACGCTTGCTGTTCATCAGTCAGAATCTTGGGAGCAGGGATGCACCACTGATCAGTTTGTTCGGTAACAAAGTGAAACTGAATGCTCGACGTTTACGCAGCCTTGAAATATTGTTTGATTAATGCTAGCCTCCGAATGTAACCCTTTTGTGTGACCTCTGAAACGCACTACATCCACAACGCTAGCCATCTTCCACAGGTGATCACAGTTCCGCCTTAGGTTACCGGTTTTCTGTTGTCTCGTTTCGGCATTTGTAGCTTGGATGCGGTTGGGTTAATTTGCACCTGCCCTTGAAGACACATTTGATCTTATGACGAGAGCACGTTGCTTATATGACACGTTTTATTGATTACAGCTTCTTTAGTCAGAGGGGACGATGAGTCACATTGGAATCGTTCCTCTATGGATATGATGTCGCATGCGTAGCTTGATGGAGACGCTATCACAAAAGCCAGTCCCTTAGAGAAGACGATTCGATTGGTCCACTAAGTTAGGAGTATCGTAAACTAAACACTATTGAACACGAGACGCCGAAGTGGATAGTAGAATAAATTCGGGAAGGTGTTGAGGCCGGCGACTGGACTACTACAAACAGTGCAGAAACAGTAAACCTACAAATAATTACGCTGAATCTGACACGGTAATCCTCGGTTACAGGAAATAATATCAGTAGCCATTAAAATCTCCGGATGAAGTGAACTGAAAGAAGCAGACACTAGAGCCGGCCTTGGTTTTGACATTTTATAACCCACTTATCACTNAGTAGAATAAATTCGGGAAGGTGTTGAGGCCGGCGACTGGACTACTACAAACAGTGCAGAAACAGTAAACCTACAAATAATTACGCTGAATCTGACACGGTAATCCTCGGTTACAGGAAATAATATCAGTAGCCATTAAAATCTCCGGATGAAGTGAACGGAAAAAAGCAGACACTAGAGCCGGCCTTGGTTTTGACATTTTATAACCCACTTATCACTGATTTGACCTGCTAGTAGGAAGAAATCTTATTCTGTTTTATAATAATAATATATAATAATATAATAATATTATATATATAATATAGTAATATATCTTCTAGTCGGTAGTGTGATCCTAACTGACCATGTTATTGCAATCTGAGACTTTCCAACTCAGCTGCACCTACTCGTCACTTTGAGAACTTTTCCGTGAAGCACTCACCTGGAAGCGTTTTGAAATTTGTGAGTATGGAGCTCATACCGAACCATCGGAGAAGCATCCAGGCTATCTGGTATTGTCTACATTTAGATTAGAGCAGATCCAAGAAGAGCTGTACCATCTACATAATCGAGAGAGGACAGCCCTACCTGACACCACTGGATGTAGTGAACGCAGTCGAGGGCATACCATAGATATCAACACATCCACAGGAATCAGAGCACAATGAGGGCTTAGAGTTTATGGAGATAAGTGCTCCAAAGGCCAAACCATCGCGCCCGATGACATATACAACCAAAGGCGGCTTTTGAGTCAAGATAACCAATGGCGGTCGTTGGAGGAGCAGCAGATTGAACTCACCAGTCTGAGGTGGCTTGTGATATGTATTAAATATGTCCAACCACCACCTACCAAAGAAAGCGTTGCTTTCTGCTCCAGGCCATTATTGCCGCAAGGTGCGCAGGATACGGGCCATGAACATGGTAGCGTAGAACGAAGGGGGATCTTCGCTCCTGTCTAACTGGGGTCCAAATGACTCTCTTACAGATGGTTGGAAAACTTGCAGGAAATGGCAAACAAACGATTCAAGTGGCGTGCATCTGCCAGTCTCTAGTCGGAATGCCTAGCTAGAGTTTGTCTGTGGTTGTGTGCTGGGCTTATGTCAAAGGAGGACGATGCAAAGGACGATGGAATAATCCCGCTGGTGGCTGCTAACCTAGACCTGGTACTCAGACGTGTTCAGTTTAATGATGTCCAAAGGTGTGGGCACCTGATTCCTGGTCGTTTTCCTAATGGATATGGGGCTCCATCACCCTAAGCCCCACACCAAGTTTCCACTCTTTATTAAGGCTTTCCATATGGCTGTAAGGCAGTTAAGAACTTGTATGTGCTGCTTGTTTGTGGCTGTCAACGATGATAAGATGGTTGCTGGAAACTGATAATAGGGGTGTGATCCATACATACATTTTCAGGGTGGAACCCTGCTTAATTTTCATAAATATGTCTCTGTGTCTGGTCGACTTGAGAAGAAATGGAGAACACCTTAGATGTTGTAGCTACCGTGTTGCTGCAATGATGGTTTTTCCATAATTCTCAAGTATTCTTTTTGGAAAACGAGATGTTCCATTCCAAAAAGGCTTTTCTTCACACCCTATAACAGAAAGTTTTGTTTAACGGGGTGTCACAGCTTCTTGGAGGACTGGATAAATACCATCTGGACCAGATATTTTTTCCGGCTGTAAAAGTGATACCTCGCACTTTATTTCTTCTGACGGGGGTTAGGGACGTATGTAATGTCTCCAGAGGCTATCTTGCAGGAATCCGCCTAAGTTGTTCTTCAACTACTTGATCTACCTCTCCAATCGCCGTTTTACGAAAGAATAGCTGAATTCATTATGACGGGAGATCGGGTAATATTGAATAGGGATTTCATCCTATCAGTATGTACATTTGTTTCATCCTTGTTGGGAATTACAAGCAGTGCGCACCTCACGAAACACATAGTTTTGAACCCGCGACCTCCCAGTCATTAACATGATGGAATCTCTACTGAACCTGACTAAATCTTCTCCTATCACTGAGTTGATAAGCAGCTCAGATGAGGGATAGTTTAACTGAAAGTATGGAAATTCCTTCTAAGTCGTCAATCTGGAAGCCAGTCAGTACGTGACCAAGTGATGTGGTTTCTGTTGTTGAAGGATGGGTGGCGCTATGTTCTGCCTGACAGAGAGCTAATCAAACTCGTGGATAAACGATCAGGTGTTCTACCACTGGCCGGAAAGTTGAGGGTTTGAGACTAGGAGTTTGGTGAGATGCACATCACTGATAATTCCCAACAAGGTGAAAACAGCTACATATTGCTTCTCGGCTTTTCACTATAGATTGACTTCACTGGCAGGCTGAAATCTGTACTGAAAATTACTAAATTGGCTTTCCCAACTAACGTTTCGCTAGTGCTTGCATTCTGGTGCAAACTACTAGGAGGGTCATCGGACATAACCGTCCATGTAACCATTGACTACGGGCTTTAAATTTATTAACCTAATCCAATAGAGCTTTCCTGAAATATCCGCTGTTGTACCGGTCAGATTCAGACAGCCACTCTGAACTACATGCGAAATATCTGGCCGAGGACGTCTAGAACTAAGGGGAGTGTCATGCCGATTTGGGCACTGTCACCGTATTTTAAAAAAGAATCGGAGAAAATAGTACCGAAAGCAGGTTAGACCAAGATAATTTTGTGTTTAACATACATCTTGAGGCTAGCTAACCGGGGAGGATTTTTCGATAGCTTAGGTTGATGGGGCCTCGCAAATTGCACTTAAACTGCATATGTATGCCAGTTTCGAAAATGGGTGCGCTCTTGAATTTACTACTGCCAGTTGGCGATGACAATGAACAAAGCCTTTATATGGGTTGTCACTCGTTTGCTGTCCGCTCATGAACAAAGCCTTTATATGGGTTGTCATTCGTTTGTCTGTCCGCTCGTGTTTGCTGAACTTAGCTGAACAGTAAATACTGGATGGAGCAGAAAACTCCTTACACTATTTGTAATGTACTACTCCTTACACTATTGTCCAAATGCCTCCTTTTTCATCGGGTTTCCGCTTTGGTCGTCACCACAATGAAGTCATTATGAGTATAGATGATGTATGCGGTCGATGGATAAAAAGACAGAAATGCCCTCAACTAGTGGTACGCACAGTTCGTGTGGGCATCTGAATAGCTGTGTAGCAGCGTTCTTAACGTGACCATTTAGCTGGAGGCCAATGCCATATCATCGACGCACACTAAAGCAGTTCTAACTGCATTTTTTCATATTACCGCAAGGCTGAGAACTAAAGGTTATAAAGCTAAATCGAGCAACCAACAGTATCGAGCGGGGGATTCGATTTCTGGATCCTTCGGGGAACCGTGTGAAGTGGGCCTGGACTTATGGTAACCCCAAACTCGGCTTGCTGGACAGGGCCTCTAGGCCGAGTCATTCTACTCGATTTCAACTAGAAGCCAATATGCCTATACGATGTTGAACTATTTTGTTCAACGGAGTAGCACTAAACGGCGTGACAGAAACTACAAACAAATTCGAAATGTGAGAATTAGGTGAATCAAGTGATGAAAGTTCTGTTGACTTGGAAATACTAAGCGTGACAATGAGACGATGGTTACGCATGTTCAATGAATGAGTGGTAGTGAAAGAGGACTTGTAGGACTGAGAGCCTGAGAACGGAAGGTTTTGATGAAAATATTTGGTTATTGCGTTTGATACACATCAGTTCAGCTCACCGGTAGAGCTAGTCAGGTTTTCTATGTATCCAAGCTTGGTTGTCTAAAGGACAAGGGGATAGGGCCACAACAGTTCAGCTCCTACTTATCATGCAAAAAAGTGTAGTTGAGCGACGAGATTAGAA